CACTACATGGACTAAAACTTCTTCCATGAATTGGTCCAAACATCATGAACACATCTTTCATGTAGAGGTAAGATTGATAGAGGTAATTGGTTGAGGAAGAGGTGAGCGTTGGGTTTCAACTCCGGTCGTTGAGGGGCATTAAAAATTATATAGGTCGACTTGAGGTTGGTTGAAACACGGGAATTCACCTATAAAATTAAATTTCCTACTGAGATCGACCAAACTTTCCTAAAGTCAATCGTGTTGGTCGAAAACGAACAAAAATATATAGGTCGACTTGAGGTTGGTTGAAACACGGGAATTTAGAAAACTTTCCTAATCTCTAATCGTGAATATTTTATATATAAGATTTATAATATGTAATAATATGTTAAAAAATATGTTTAAAAATGTATAATATTATACTGAGGTAAACTCCAATACAATATTTTCAATGTTTATGCATTGAAAATATTTATATTTAAGAAAGCTATATAATATTCAAATTATACTTTTCTTCTACAATATATTTAAATTTAAAATACAAGAATTAAATTAACATTCGACACCATTAAAACACAGTTTATTTTTGTAAAACAGTTAACTATTGAGATTATTGTTGTGACCTTTACGAGTAGGAATATTTTTTTTAAAATGAGTATGGATTATTGATCAACCAATTTGAAACATTATTTACTCTATCGAAGTACTTTTGTTCATGTCCGACCAACATATGACCGAGCACGAACAATTATATACCTAAACTACTTTTTAATTATTTTCTAAATAACGATACTCAACCAACCATCAATAAAGAAATCGATTATATTTTCATCAATTTATCTATGATGCCCAAAGGTCACATATAGTCAAATACGGTCAATTCTAATGGCCATTTTTATCTATGAAATACAATGTTACTTAAGAATGCAGATTAACAAGTTGTTCGAATAGAGACTAATGTTTTCTCTAATGCTTTGACATATCTATAAAGCTCGACATTCGGGTGAGTATCTTTTGTATGCATCAAGTTCATAATTTCATAAACAACTTTGACAACTTTCCACTGTGCTCAGCACTCGAGTGATGAGTATCTTTTGTATTATTTCATCACCATCTAAGTATAATTAGATGATGAAATAAGCAGCTAAACACTCACACACGGACGAGGCAATGGGTGTTGACAAATACATGAACGGGTTGTCCATTCCCAGCAGAAACCACCATCGCCACGACTGGTTGTCCGTGAGTGGAACAGAGACGAACACCAATTTCTCTCAACGTCAAATATAATGATGTCATTTCAAACTTGCAATGCAAAGTTTGAAGGTATACATGTCTTGAAACTTGAATATTAAAACTTGAATATATTGGTGTATCACTAAAAATAATTCTAAATGATATACCATTTACAACATATATTTGAAATAAATTAACCTTACACTTTTTATGAAATATGACGAACATGAAATGAAATTCAACATCAAAATTGAGATCAACAAATCGACACAAATTTTATGTTATGATACGAAAGACTAACAGCACTACCTATATCAAGGACATTTGACATTACAAAATTTCACTAATATATATTTGCTAAATTCTCTTTTATACAAACTTATTTGTATGTTGTCATATCGAAAGTTGTCAATGAGTGAGTTAATATTTTTATATGAAAATGATGATCACACATTATCAACACTAAAGATTGAAGTACAAAGAGAGTTTTTTCAAATACTAAGATGGTTTTGTTCAATCGCTCAGAATAATGGAGGTATTTTTTTAAAACTTCTGAATGAACTGACAAACGAAACACAACACTTCAAAAATTCTAACCAAATGATGTTACATGACTCTATTTTTAGTTAGATGACATTATACATTCACTTTCTTCCATTGGTCTACTCTTACGAAAACAGTAAAACACTTTAACACCATGTAATTAATTACTCACATTTCCAAAAACCTTTACCTACTTTTCCTATTTCGTTTGCCTCGATAAATTTCTCAGATGCTCCATTTAGTAATGATGGAGTATATGGCCCGGGAAACTCCGGCCCACAGACTCCTACTTCTCCTGCACGGGCCCAAATGCAGCGGCCCAAGTTTCAAGAAGCCCACGATACATGTAGGGGTGCCTTCGGCCTCCTTGGCCGAGTGGTCCAAATTACACAGGGCAGCCAGATTTGAGCATACGAAGCCACTGGGAGGAAATGGCGAAAAATAGGAGCCTTCGGCATTTTCATGCCATCGGCCCATGGGAAGCCTTCGGCTGAACCAAGCCTTCAGGTACGCAGACCCCTCGGCAGCAGGGAGAGCCTTCAGCCAACAGTTCAATCATCGAAGATTCCCTTTGGAGACAAGCAACCACCGCATTTAATGCGGCGTCACATCCACCCACCGCATTCAATGCGGTGCATATGCAATTGTCGGTGCCACTCGATTGAGGTGACCCCTCGGCCGTTAGATTATCGCCACGTGTACTCTCATCGCATTTATTAGTACTATAAATAGCACCCCCTTTTCCCATTGTAAAGGACCAGAACATCTCGAGTTCATTAATACAATCGCCTCTCTCTCCTACTTGTTTGTTCTGACTTCTCTCTAAGTTATTCCCGCAATAACCACTCGGATAAGATACCCCCGGGGTACACTGTTCATCATTTGGTGCTCTCGTTGAAAGGTCCGAACAATTAAGTAAGAAACCCTCTCCTTCACCAAACACAAAAACACCTGCCAAAACGGGGAGAACCCGTGGTCAATCCAAAACCCTTGAGGAAAACCATGTACCCCACAGCGAAACGAATGGGGTTGAGGCCTCCAACCGTATTCCCGAGGGCGGTACTATCGCCGAAATAGAACAAGCCGCCGCTGAACTCCGTCAGCAGCTCCAGAAGGCTGCCCCTGATGCCCGCATAGGGCTTGATAATCGAAGGAGGGATTGGAGTGAGAACCAAGTTCCCCCTCCGGCCCCGGCCATCGATCATCAGGCTGACTTTTCCTGCACCTTCTTCTTTGCTTTGTCAACCTTCCTTCTCTTTTTCTCCACAGTTCTCTCTGATGGCGTGTAGCGCTCCGGAGATCTAGGTTTCCTTTTGGACTTTTTTACATCTGCAGCTCCATAAATCACAGCTAGAGGTTCTGGTTCTTGGTAAACCTGTATAATTTTGCACTGTATGATCTAGTGTCAGTACGCTTTATACTTTATATACCATTACTGCCAATAGTTCATAAATGTTCTCATTAGTTACTCGTAAGTTCTGTCATGTCACTAAATTTGCCATTAAATATTAACTACGCATTGTTACTGGCAATATAGGATGCATATGCATGTTGAACATCATTGCCATCCTAGTTCAGTTATTGGCAAGTTCTGTCATGTGTTACTGCCATAGTTGTTATGGCGTCGCTGCATCGTCGCCTTATCGTCGCCTTGGCGTCGTGGCGCTCTGGGCAGGTCGCCATGGAAGCTTGAGACGCCATAAGTCAAAAGGCGTTGCCGCATCGCGCCAGAGCGTCGCAAATACGACACTGATGCCAGACAACGACGCTAGGCATGACCCACTGAGCCAAGAATTACGAATAGGCCCAAACCCAACCCCAGTAATAAGATAAGTGATTAGCGATAACCCTTTAAAATTAAAAAATTAAAAACAGTTAACCTATAAACCGGGCGACTCCAAAATCTCGCAATCCCAAATGCATAGCGACAGTCATCACCCATAAGTTGACTTTAGACTTTACTCCGTACTTGTTTTTGTGGCTCCAGAATTATCCTCTAGTGTCTACTTTTTGTATTTTTTTTTGTTGAGTATTAATTAATTGCTTTATATTATTTCTATTTAATATTTTAATGTTTTGTATTCCTTTATTTCGTTGCTCCAGTAGACTGTATTAATTAATTTGTATTAATTAATTGCTTTAAAATCTTTCTATTTAATATTTCAATGTTTTGTCTTTATTTCATTACTCCAGTAGGTTGTATTAATTAATTTGTTATTAATTAATTGCTTTTAAATCTTTCTATTCAATAATTCAATATTTTAGTGTTGAACGGTGTAATGTTGTAGTGTAACTAGTGTTGTACAGAAACACAATTGAAAAGTTTGTATTGTTACTATTTTAAGAAATGTTTTAATTTTCTGAAAACAAATTTCACTTTTCCCCATATAATAGTGAAATTTCAGTTGCTTTTTATATGTTATACTCCCTCCGTCCCCAATTAAATATCTCATTTTACCATATTGGGATGTCCCTATTTAAATGTCCCATACCTCATTTGGTAAAATTTGTGTGGCTCAAAATCATTCTTACTTTATTCTTACTTTATTCCTACTTTATCAATTAATATCAACCACACAAACCCACTTTTCTTACAACTCGTGCCACCCTCTTCCGGGACTTTTAAAAGGGGACGGAGGGAGTACTATGGATTTGATAATTTTAGTCCTACGAATTATTGATTTTTTCCCTATTCCTATTTGTGCACATTCAATTAGTATTAGTCCTATATAGGTCATTAACTCTTTTGGTTATAAGTATTACATGTAAAACATTGGTAGTGTTGGCTATAAGTATTACATGTAGGCATTTTAGTATGTAACATACTATGAATGAATTAGTGTACCTATGTCGACTTATCGCCGTGATGCCGCCACAAAGGCCGCCATATCGCCATGGCGGTATGGCAATCCAGAGGCGCCGCGCCGCAAAACCACGCCGTAACAACTATGGTTACTGCCAACGTTGACACATACTCATGTTCAATACTGTCTTGTTTGTCAGTAATTATATTAGACATTTGGCAATACTAAAAAGTACATCATAGTACTGTCAGAATTATGTGCTAACAGAACTATACCTGATTTATAGCACTGACATCTTCTTTCTTTGACTTACTTTCCAGTTTCCCTTCTACCACTTCCATTTTCTGCAATATATTGAGATATTAATTATTATTAATATATATATTATTTAAATATGTATTGAACAACTTTTGAACTTCATACCTTTGTGGATTCCTCAATGTTTGTTTCGGTTGACTTCTCTTTTCTCTTTTCTATGGTTGTGTTAACCAGCTCATCCACTTTGAGCAGCTCATCCTCATCATAATCTGTGTCATCATCATTCAATTTTCTCCAGTCCTCTTTTCCAGTATCATTGCCAACATCCATCTTCTCAGTGCCATCAACAACTGGCTCACGTGCATTGTTCAAGTCTCCTAATATTTCCTCATCAGTTTATTTCACAAGCTCTTCTTCCTGTGAAGAAAAAACAAATATATTGAACGATGGTCTTTGAGAATATATCTCATTCTCAGACACTTCAACATTCTCCTTTTCAACGGTGCCATCTTCCTCTGTGATAAGTCTGTATTTAGACACGCATTTGATGCGTGTTCGGGTCGGATTTTGATGATTTTCTTAGCTTTAAGGCGTTGCAAGTCTCAATTTTGGCTCAAGTTGTGTTTAGCTGGCGTTGGATCGAGTTTCATTGCATTTGAAGTTGATTTGAAGAAGTTAGAGTCCGGCAATCGGCGCTTGAGAGGCATTCGGGAAGGATTTGAAGGCATTCGAGAAAGATTTGGAAGATTTGGAGGCCACCGGGAGATTCACGACGAAATTCTGGTGAAGAAAGAGCATTTGGATCGACCTCGTAGGCATTCAGAAGCATTCGGAACAAGAAACGAAGAAAAACGATGAAAAAAAGGTCAGGCACGACCGTGCCCAGGGGAGGCACGATCGTGCCTGCATTCAGAATGAGACGCGGATACACTGCCAGCCAGACACGATCGTGTCCAGGGCAGGCACGATCGTGTCTGCATCCGAAGCGCGCGTTTGTTCCGCAGGCACGGTCGCAGGCACGATCGTGCCTGGCACCGTGCCTGGCCGCGATTTGTCCTAATTCGACCCGAATTCGTTGTTTTCTATAAATAAGGCCTCCATACCCACTTTTGAGGGTTAAGAAGTTTGGAGAGAGGCCTAGGGACGAGTTTTACCTGCGTTTTTACGTTGTTTAATCCAAGAACCTGGGATTCTTTGTAAGTTCAATTCTTTAATTAATGACAATTATTTCTATTCATCCCAATTCTATTGATTCTTCAATTATGAATTGTGAGTAGTTTAATTAGGGATTTGGGATTGATGAAGGGGTTAATCATGATTGATGGCTAGATTCTTGTCGGTTTAATTGCATGAATGCCGTTTAATTTGTGTTTGAATAATTTAACTGATATCTCTTGTAACCTAGATGGCCACTAGAATTACAATTGCTTATAGAATAAATTAAGAGAGATCTAATTTGTTCTAGGACACATTCACACACACTTAATCGTTCGCTAAGAGATTAGTAGCGATTAAGGGGCCGTAAGCTCGTTCATTTTGACAATAATTTAGGATCTTGTCGCATGAGAGATCATCCTGGACCCCTAAATTATTGTACTCTACGCCGCGAGAGCGGTAAGAACTTAGTAATGATTAGCTAGGCTCAATTAAATTAAATTCATGTGATTAGGGCCTGTTCTGCCAGAAATCTGGTTAACCCCAGAATCAATTCCTGTTCCCTTTGTCGTTAATTAAGGAAAACCGAATCTTTTTACCTGCTTCTTAGCATTAGTTTTAATTCAATCAATTAACCAATCTCGCACAATTGCACTTTTATTTTATTTATTTCTTTTTAATCGCTAAGTTTAGTTAATCCCTTTTGTCCGTCCCTGTGGAGACGATACTCGTACTTTACACCACTTTTCTACAACCATTTTAAGTGCGAGAAAACACTCATCAGTTTTTGGCGCCGTTGCCGGGGACGGTGTCGGATTTAAGGGTTAATTACTTTTAGCGACTTGTTTTTAGTTTTTCGTAGGATTTTTGTCTACTAACCTTGCAGGTCAGATCTGTTTATGCATACACGCTCTAAGAAGGGAGAATCACTAGTCCCTCTTAATCCTGAGATCGAGAAGCTAGCTAAGCAGAACCGCAAGGCTTTACGAGAACAGAAAGCTACCATGGATCAACCATCCGCATCTGGAATAGCTGGGACGTCTGAGGTCCAAACCACTTCCGGTAATCTGGATTTTTATGTTAATACCTCTCACCAGTTTTCACAAGAAAATTCACCTAGAGCTTATCCGGGGTATCAAAATCTCCGTACCCCATTCTTCCCCCAAAATCAGTCCACTCCACAACTAAATCTTCCACCACTCTATCAGCTCTTTCAAAATACTTCCATTGCTCCCGAAACCACTTTTCAAAACCAAACCTATGGGATGCAATGTCTAGGGCAAAACAATCCAGTCTTTCAGCCCAGACAGAACTAACCGCCAGTCACAAAAAATCCACCCCCTACTCAGCCACAAAATCAGCCCTTCCAAACCCAATATCAACAATTCTATCAACCCCAACCGCAGCCAAATATCATCCGTCCACAACCCATTAGACCACAACCAGTTCATCAGCCGAGATATCAGGCTCCTCCGTACCACAACTATGTCCCACATGACAATCCGCTCTATCAAGGAGAGACCATTGCAGACTTCCTAGCCCCCGAGATTACAGAGTATGACAGTATCCAAGTACCGGGAATTACTGCACCCCGTTACGAGATCAAGTCGGCGGTAATCAATATGGTCCTAAATAATCAGTTCGGAGGGAGCCCTACGGAAGATCTAGTGGCACACATTACCAAATTTCTGAGGATGTGCCAGACTTTCAAGATTCCTGGGCTAGATGATGATCAGGTACGGATGACGCGTAGAGGTGGTTGGATAAAAATCCACATCACCACATTCAGACTTGGGATCAGCTGCACAAGGCCTTCATAAAAGAATACTTCCCAACATCAAAGGCCATAAAGTTGAAGAAGCAGCTACAGGAATTCAAGCTAGGTTCTTTGGAGACACTAGCTGAGGCGTGGAAGAGATTCAAGGTGTTGAGAAGAGATTGCCCTCAAGGCAAGATGACTGATTGTGAGGTTCTATCTTGTTTCTACAGTGGACTCAACAATGAAGGAAAGATGATGTTTGATGCTTTGGGAGGTGGAGCTTTTCCTCAATTGCCATCTGAGGTTGCGGAAGAATTAGTGGAGAAGATTGTGTCTAATAATGCTTCATGGTACAGCTCTCGGGACACACCTCACCAGAAGGCCCCGGGATTGTACGAGATCAGTGAGAATTCTGCCCTTTCTGCAAGGGTAGATGCTTTGACCAGTTTGATTCAGAAGCTTGCTACAACTGTGGAAGACAATCAAAAGAAGACGGAACTTGCTCTCTCGGTGCCCAGTGTGAATATGGTAGCCCCCGTTCCTATTAGTCCCTCTTGTACTATGTGTGGGGGACTCCATTCGCCGCATGAATGCACGATGATGGCACACTCAGCAGCCCCTGGAGTAGAGCAAGTGGATGCGATGTATTATCAGCGCCAGGGCTACTACAATCAGCCCTACGGACAGCAGCAGCAAGGGCAATACGGGAAAGGAAATCAGCAGCATTCTAGAAACTTTAATCAGCCCCAGGTACCTCAAGGCCAACAACAAGCACCTCAGCCGGCGCAAGGAAGCTTTAGAAAAGAGACTGAGCAAAGATTCTCTAGCTTGGAAGAAACAATCAAACAATTAGCACAAAATCAACTAAGGATGGAAACTCAATTGGGGCAGATCTTTAAGGTTGTATCTGAGAGGCCTCAGGGATCCCTCCCCAGTAATACTGAACCAAACTCACGAGAACATGTTCAAGCAGTCACCTTGAGGAGCGGAAAAGAGCTGGAACCTGCTGCCACAACAAAGAAGCCCGATGAAGTTCAAGTTGAACCGGCTGTCCGGGAGGAAGAGAAGGAGAAAGATGAGGGAAGAGAGGTGGCGGCTACACCAAAACAGTCCGTTCTGGTAAAAAATTACACCCCACCTCTCCCCTATCCGGCGCGATTGACTAGGAAGAACAATAGTGATCAGTTTGGTAAGTTTCTGCATCTCATGAAACAAGTGCAGATTAACTTACCATTCGTGGATGCACTAGCTCAGATGCCGAAGTACGCGAAGTTTATGAAGGATTTGCTCACGAACAAGAGGAGGCTGGAAGAAGCGTCTACTGTGACGCTTGATGAGGAGTGCTCAGCTGTGATACGGACAGATCTGCCGAATAAGCTTAAGGATCCAGGTTCTTTTACTATTCCCTGCTTTATAGGAGATCTTACTTTTGATAGGGCCCTGACTGATTTGGGTGCAAGCATTAATTTGATGCCTCTTGTTTTATATGAAAAGCTTGCACTCGGTCCACTTAAACCTACACGTATGTGCATTCAGTTGGCTGATCGTTCAGTCAAATATCCCCAAGGGATTATTGAAGACGTGTTGGTTAAAGTGGACAAATTTATTTTTCCGGTGGACTTTGTTATTTTGGACATGGATCAGGATCGGGAAGTACCATTGATTTTGGGCAGACCATTCTTGGCAACTGCCTGAGCACTTATTGATGTTGGAGACGGTAAGCTTGTCCTCCGCGTTGGGGATGAGTCTGCCACCTTTGACATGTCCAAAATAATGAAGAGGCCCTGTCAAGATAGTGGTGAGTGTTTTTACATGGATGTGGTTGATTCTTTGGTGGAGGATTGCATTCCTAACATGCTTTCTGATGAAGCCTTTTTTGATCTTCTTTTGGATGATAGTTTGTCAGCAGAGGATCTTGAGCTCCTCCCTAGTTTTGATTGTCTTATGCTTGGTAAGGAGGAGGACTGAAGTGATGCTAGTGATGTGAAGGGGAAGGAAGATGACTTAGCTAAGGTGGAGAAGGAAGACTGTCAGACTGATTCTTCTATTGTTACTCCTTCTCCATTAAATCTAAAGTCTCTTCCCTCCCACCTTGAGTATGCGTTTCTAGATGATAGTTCTGACCTCCCTGTTATTCTTGCATCCAGGCTTGTGCCATGCCAAAAATCTGCATGTCTTGACTTACTTTGTGAACAAAGGGAAGCTCTAGCCCGGAAACTTTCTGACATGAAAGGAATTAGTCCTGTTTTCTGCACTCATAAAATTTTGATGGAAGATAATGCTAAACCGGTAGTGCAGCCACAAAGAAAACTGAATCCTAATATGCAGGAGGTGGTCAGAGAGGAAGTCATCCGTCTGTTAGATGTAGGAATTATTTATCCAATTTCAGACAGCCCTTGGGTCAGCCTGACCTAGGTGGTTCCCAAGAAAGGGGGATGACTGTGGTTAGGAATGAGAAAGATGAGTTGATTGCTACACGTACGGTCACCGGATGACGGGTTTGCATTGATTACCAAAGGTTGAATGCCGCCACCCGGAAGGACCACTTCCCCCTCCCCTTCATTGATCAGATTTTAGAGAGGTTAGCAGGGCATAAGTTTTACTGTTTCCTTGACGGGATGTCGGGATACTTCCAGATCCCCATAGCCCCCGAGGACCAGGATAAGACCACTTTTATATGTCCATTCGGTACCTTTGCTTATCGGAAGATGGCGTTTGGATTATGTAATGCCCCTGCTACCTTTATGAGATGCATGCTTGCTATTTTTGGGGATTTCATTGGGAAGTTTATGAAGGTTTTCATGGATGACTTTTCTGTGTATGGTGATACTTTTGATGAGTGCTTAGAGAATTTGAAGAAAGTCCTGGTTAGGTGTCGAGAGGTGAATTTGGTACTTAACTGGGAGAAGTGCCACTTCATGGTTAGTGAGGGAGTGGTCCTAGGGCATAAGATTTCAAGTAGGGGGATTGAGGTTGATCCGGCTAAAGTTGATGTGATTTCTAAATTACCCAACCTACTTCGGTCCGTGCCATTAGGAGTTTTCTAGGCCACGCAGGTTTCTACCGTAGGTTCATCCAAGACTTTTCTAAGATAGCCCGACCCATGACTAAGCTCCTTGAGAAGGACACACCGTTTGACTTCTCAAAGGAGTGTTTAAAGGCTTTTGAGTGTTTGAAGGAGAAACTGGTCAAGGCACCGGTGGTAGTAGCTCCTGACTGGTCTTTGCCTTTTGAGATTATGTGTGATGCTAGTGATTTTGCAGTAGGAGCCGTTCTTGGGCAGCGTCGAGAGAAACAATTTCAGCCTATTTCTTATGCTTCTAAGACTCTCGATAGTGCCCAAGAAAATTACACTACCACCGAGAAAGAATTGCTTGTTGTTGTATTTGCTCTTGACAAGTTTCGTCCTTATCTGATTTTGTCTAAGGTAGTGATATTCTATGTTGCACGGATACGGATACGCCGATACGCAGATACGCGGATACGGGTACGGCGATACGGCACTTTCAAAAATTATAGGATACGGGTACGGGGGTATATTTATAAATAATAAAAATATAGGGTATAATTTGCAAATATATATAATTCAGGGGTTCATAAATAAAATAATAATAATAATAGTACAAAAAATTAACTATTATAATAAAGTTTCAAAGATTAGTCTAAAAAACTAAAGTATTGATATTTTGATTTAAATTCAAATAATTTTTTTTGTTCTCTATTTGCATTTACATCCAAGTCTTGTTTCAATTAAATATCATCAAGCAATGAAATGTCAAATTATAGTATTCCATTATTTTTCATACTCCCGAAACCATCTTTATCAATGTTCCACATGTTGTGGTCGCTTGGTTGGCTACTAAATTTTCGTCATGTCGTGTATAAAATGAGGGGTTATAGGTTCAGATACGTGTATCGGTTCACGGATACGGATATCGGAAGTATCGGTATTTTTAAAATTAAGCCCGATACTTTTATTAAATTACGGATACGGACCCAATAAGTACAGGACGGGTATCGGTGAGTATCGGATACGGATACGTATCGGATACGCGGATACGGCATCGAAGTGAAGTATCGGTGCAACATAGGTGATATTCACCGATCATTCTGCTCTCAAATATTTGATGCAAAAAGTGGATGCTAAGCCTAGATTGATTCGGTGGATATTACTACTCCAGGAGTTTGATATTGAGATTAGGGATAAGAAAGGGGCTGAGAATTTAGTGGCTGATCACTTGAGTAGGTTAGAAAACCCCTTTCTTGATTCCCTGAGTGAGAGAGATATTGAGGGAACTTTTCCTGATGAGAGACTGTTGAGGATCGTTGATGAGGTGCCTTGGTTTTCTGACATCGCCAACTATCTTGTTGGGGGTGTTGTTCCTTCTGATTTTACACCTCATCAACGAAGGAAATTCTTTGCTGATCTGAAGTATTATTTCTGGGAGGAACCATATTTGTTTCGTATTTGCGCTGATCAGGTTGTTAGAAGATGTGTTCCTCTGAGTGAAGGAGTTGAGATTCTTAAACATTGTCACTCCGGACCGACTGGGGGACACTATTCTTTTAACCGGACAGCTCGTAAGGTGTTGGAATGTGGTTTCTTCTGGCCCACGTTGTTTAAAGATGCTCTAACGTTTGTGCAGGAATGTGACAGGTGTCAACGCACCGGGGCGGTTACCAAGAGGGATGAGATGCCCCAGAAATTTATATTGGCTTGTGAGGTATTTGATGTTTGGGGCATTGACTTCATGGGCATTGGTTTGTGACATGCTTTTCAAAAAACCCACAAAAACCACAAAAAAATGGATTTTGGCCGGGCACGGTCGTGCCTGGGTAGGCACGATCGTGTCTGCAAGGGGGAAAATAACGCGAGCCTACTGCCAGCCAGGCACGATCGTGTCTGGCTGGAGGCACGATCGTGCCTGGAACGCGAGAGAAGCGTGCCCACTGCCTGCCAGACACGATCGTGTTTGGCCTAGGCACGATCATGCCTGGGCAAAATTACCGGACTACCCCCGCAAATTAAAAAGAATAACCAGGCCCCTTCCCCCTTCTCTCCACGCGACCAACGAGCAAATGAAGCACTCCCTCGATTCTTCTTCTTCCTCGACAACACCGAACAACGACCACCACCACCGGCCGAGACCACCGGTGACCGCCGCAGCTCCGATCGACCGCCGCACACTCCTCTCCTCTCTCCTCTCTCCTCCCTCAAGGTATTCTCCTTCTTTATCAACCTCTTTTTCTCCATTAATGGAGGTTGTTCAAGCTTTGAAAAGTCCGATTTTGCATGAGCTCGAATCTTAGGGATTTTGACTTCTTTGTGTAAATTGAGGCTTGTATTGATGATATTGATGTTCTATGTTGATGAATTTGCCTCTTTTGATTGAAATCCCTAATTTTTGAGCTAATTTAGCCAATTTAGGGTTAATTTTGTTGAATTATTGAAAATTTTGGGGATTTTGTGCTTGTTGCTTGAATTAAGGAATGAATTATTGTTTGTGATGTTGAAACCTTGTTGTTTAGTCAATTTGAGCATAAATCCCCAATTTTAGGCCAAAATATGTCCAATTTGAGAATTGAGTTCTTCTCCTATTCTAATTGATTCTTTAATTCTTTTGGGAGGAACTCCATTCTACAAACACTGTTGTGATGAATAAGCTTTCTTGTGACCTTGTTTATACCGTGTGTCGTTGGAAATTTGAACTTTTATTCAAAGAACTTTTCTTTGTTAAAAATTCAAACGTTTCAACTATTCTGGTTAAACTTAGGTTTGTTCTACTATGATGATATTTTTGCTTGATTAATTACTGACGGGGCCATTGCTGTACTTTGTGAATTTGTTCTAACATTTGGAAGCCCCGTTGGAATTCTTGTTGTGAATTGTTTTGACAGATGGCACCAAGGCAGAAACACACTAGAGGTGGAGGTGCCGGCTCTAGCCGAGGCAACACCGGCCGGTACCAGCCGAGGTTCCCGCAACTGCGGGACGAGCTGAAGCATACGGAGCTGCTGCAGAAGAATATGGGCACATTTTACGTTCCGGATGCGGACTCACTCACGGCAGCAGGAGTGAGAGATGACGTGATGTTCTTATTGAGACGGGGGTGCTGGAGGCACTTGTTTTTCGGGATCCGTGACTTGACCTATCGAGAGATTACTTGTGAGGTGCTGGCGACGTTCAAGATGCCGAAGGTCATACCTATTGATGACAACCATAGGCCCGTCATTAAGTTTCGGGCATTCAAGGAGGACCATGCCATCTCCATGGCAGAGATGCGCTATCATTTGGGCTTTACGGGGATTGAGGATGACGGTCAGCACGAAGCCTCTTTGACAGACTTTCCACCCGGCGTCAACCGCCAAGCATTTTGGGAGTCCATTACGAGAGATGGCGGGATTTACAGACCGGAGATGTCCCCTAGCACCCTACTTTACCCCCACCAGTACCACATTATTCACACCCTCCTTTCTTCCACCATCACCGGCAAGGTCGAGGTTGCCGGTAAGGTCACTCAGACTGACCTCTTCTGCTTGTACTGTATGATCCACAACCGCAAGCCCCACATGGGCTATCTCATCGCCAAACTCCTCCACCGCCAGGCCACGAATCACATCAAGACCATCTATGTTGGCCATTCATTACGAGACTGTTGACTGGGATGGGATTTGGGGATCGATTTCTGAGGATGGAGGAGAGATCTAGTTTTGTTGCTTTGACCCGGCTCCCCGAGGTCAACACTGGCGTGGCAAGGAGAAGGACGCAGCCGACAGTAGCAGCAGCAGCAGGAGGAGGACAGCGAGCTGAGGATGATGATGATGATGACGAGGACCATGAGGATGATGATGATGTGGAGATGGAGGCAGCTGCCCACGAGATCCCATACGATGCACCCCCCTACGGCACCACCTTTCCCGATTCTTGGGCGGGGATGCATGCGCATCAGGATGCTGTGTATCGACAGCTGTCCGCTGAGCAGCACGAGAGATTTGATCAGATGCGCTTCGAGCAGCAGGACTTCTACAGAGAGATGAGGGAGGACCAGACACTCCATTATTCACAACTCCAGTCTCAGTACACCCGGATTGATGAGAGATTCACTTCTATGGAGACTAGCTGGAGTTCGTTCTTCGATGCCTATCCACCGCCACCCCCTCCCGAGTATTAGATTTCATTAGACTGTCCTCTGCTAGCATCTGTATCATTATTTTGTTGGATGACTGTACCGTAAACACCATCACACTCACACTTTCACTTTTTCACATTAACTCTCTATTTTGTGTTTTGCTTTGTGTTCATGATGTGTTGCAGCTTAGTGAGAAATGTGCCGAGCGATTCAAGACCCAGTTCTGTTCCTGACCGACCAACGCGATAGGGGAGTTTCCATGATTCTTTTTACTCGATGCGTAATGTTAACTTGAGTTGTTTTTTAGCACGCGTGACCCTTTCCTCTTTACCCCTAGTACATAATGCATATTTGGTCATCGAGGGCGATGCCAAAGTTTAAGTCTGGGGGAGTGAATTGGGCATTCGGGCAGTGGTTGTTACATGAGATTTATTAGAGTTAGCATGCGCGGGTGTTAGTTGTATATTCAGAGGAAATTCATGCAAAAGTTTTGAAAATTTTCCTTTAAACTGTGTCTTTGTGAGCTGGCTAGCGTTTTGACTATGCTTTTAGAACATCTTTTAAGTGTTTAGGCTTAAATTGCTTGCACTATAATCTAGTTGATTGAGAGGATGAAGACATTAGTCACACATTGAATTTTCCATTAATCGTCCACCCCACCTGAAAGAACCCTTTAGGAGAAGCCATTTTGAGCCTGACCGTTTATTGTTACCCAATTAATTGAGCTCCAAAGCCAAATGGCCTGTTTCCTTACCCGTGAATATTTCTAACTTAGTCTTGATGTTTAGGGAACTAAGGGATTAATTTTCAAAGTTTAGGGAATTTGTGTAGGAGTCATTTTTGGCACTGTTCCTATACCCCAAATAGGGTAAGAGCAGACACTTTTTAGGAATATGATACTTTCGAGGATTGCATTGTAGACATGGATTCACTTTGAAATTAATGAACTTAAATTGCTATTTTTCCTTGGTGAGGCCGAGATTAGAATGGGGTAATGTCTAGTGAGAATCCGAAAGGTGAAAAATTAATATAGCTAGACCTCTTACTTTTCGAAAAAGAGAATGGAAGCCCCGGTCAAAAAGCGTAAGATGAGACTTGGGTATCTTTCGAAAGAAATGGCGTTCTCGTGCCAACATGACAAGGAAAACTAAACATAATTAATGAACTTGGAGGCTATTGAAAAATTAGCTTTAGTCCTCCGCGTACTTCAAGTATACGTCAAAGCACAAATGTGCCGAGACGGTTTAGCTTAGTTGTACATCATGTCTACTCTTTGCATAGGTTTAAATGATTGTTCCTAATTTGTGGCCTACTGAGTTCCTTATTCCTAAGAGTAGCCCTGAAATTCCTAAATACATTAAGTCTTTGTTAGAATATTCCTATCTCTCAAAATAAAGAGACTATTATTTTTATCCATTCACCGCCACCTTCACAAGTCCTTCTGATCAGTAGTTAGCTTATTTGTGTATGCTGCCATTATTTTGAAGATGTTGTGAATAATTGTGTCAAATAGATTAGCTTGAGTACAAAGATGTAGTTTAGGGAAGAATTTTCTTGGTTTAGATTGTCTGTCCTGTGAATATCCCTTTAACTACGTATGCATGCTAACTATTTTAAATTCCGTGTGGTGATTATCGTAAGTCCTGTTGTTCGATTTGCTTGAGGACAAGCAAAAGCTTAAGTGTGGGGGAGTCTGATAAGTCCGTATTTAGACACGCATTTGATGCTTGTTCGGGTCGGATTTTGATGATTTTCTTAGCTTTAAGGCGTTGCAAGTCTCAATTTTGGCTCAAGTTGTGTTTAGCTGGCGTTGGATCGAGTTTCATTGCATTTGAAGTTGATTTGAAGAAGTTAGAGTCCGGCAATCGGCGCTTGAGAGGCATTCGGGAAGGATTTGAAGGCATTCGAGAAAGATTTGGAAGATTTGGAGGCCACCGGGAGATTCACGACGAAATTCTGGTGAAGAAAGAGCATTTGGATCGACCTCGTAGGCATTCAGAAGCATTCGGAACAAGAAACGAAGAAAAACGATGAAAAAAAGGTCAGGCACGACCGTGCCCAGGGGAGGCACGATCGTGCCTGCATTCAGAATGAGACGCGGATACACTGCCAGCCAGACACGATCGTGTCCAGGGCAGGCACGATCGTGTCTGCATCCGAAGCGCGCGTTTGTTCCGCAGGCACGGTCGCAGGCACGATCGTGCCTGGCACCGTGCCTGGCCGCGATTTGTCCTAATTCGACCCGAATTCGTTGTTTTCTATAAATAAGGCCTCCATACCCACTTTTGAGGGTTAAGAAGTTTGGAGAGAGGCCTAGGGACGAGTTTTACCTGCGTTTTTACGTTGTTTAATCCAAGAACCTGGGATTCTTTGTAAGTTCAATTCTTTAATTAATGACAATTATTTCTATTCATCCCAATTCTATTGATTCTTCAATTATGAATTGTGAGTAGTTTAATTAGGGATTTGGGATTGATGAAGGGGTTAATCATGATTGATGGCTAGATTCTTGTCGGTTTAATTGCATGAATGCCGTTTAATTTGTGTTTGAATAATTTAACTGATATCTCTTGTAACCTAGATGGCCACTAGAATTACAATTGCTTATAGAATAAATTAAGAGAGATCTAATTTGTTCTAGGACACATTCACACACACTTAATCGTTCGCTAAGAGATTAGTAGCGATTAAGGGGCCGTAAGCTCGTTCATTTTGACAATAATTTAGGATCTTGTCGCATGAGAGATCATCCTGGACCCCTAAATTATTGTACTCTACACCGCGAGAGCGGTAAGAACTTAGTAATGATTAGCTAGGCTCAATTAAATTAAATTCATGTGATTAGGGCCTGTTCTGCCAGAAATCTGGTTAACCCCGGAATCAATTCCTGTTCCCTTTGTCGTTAATTAAGGAAAACCGAATCTTTTTACCTGCTTCTTAGCATTAGTTTTAATTCAATCAATCAACCAATCTCGCACAATTGCACTTTTATTTTATTTATTTCTTTTTAATCGCTAAGTTTAGTTAATCTTTATTTTCCTTTTGTCCGTCCCTGTGGAGACGATACTCGTACTTTACACCACTTTTCTACAACCATTTTAAGTGCGAGAAAACACTCATCACTCTGCCATTGCTTCCTTTTCATTAGAACTTTTATTTTCATCATTCTTCAACAACTCTTCAGCATCATCAACCTCCTCTGGCACTGTCTGTATATCATCCCCTTTATCTACATCCATCTCTCCAATTTCATCCTTCTCAGTGCCATTTTCATCAATTTCAATGTTCCCAGCTTTATCACATTTCTCTCTTTCAGTTGTTTTGTCATGAAGCACCACATCATCTTTTTCAAAGATGCATTGCTTTTCCCCTTCGCTGACCTCCTTAACTTCATCTGTCAATACCTGTCTACCTTCCAACCTTGTCAGTATCTTTCTCAATAAAGACCCATGTGTTCTCTGGATATTCTTAATCCTTGCCATTTCTTCCATCATCATGTCAGTCTTCTTAACAAGTTTTTGCAGTAATGAGTCATCTTCTTCATCATCATTGCTTTCCCTAGTGCACTTTCTTTTAAGAGCAGCACCCTTTCTGGACCTTGACTTCTTCTTTTTCTCCACCTTTCCACTTCCATTTTCAACTTCTTTCTCATTGCAATCTGCACCTTTGTCATTACCTTCAGTTTGCAATCTCTTCACTACAGTCTATTCCACCATCAAACTGCCAACGTTCTCTTTCGAAGTTTTAATTTGGAACAGTAATGCCAACTCTGGTATTTCCATCTCTTGAGCTGTTGGTTCCATTGGTTTATATTCAAACTGCATAAAAGAAAAACATTTCATCAATATATTTATATTAAAATCAATTGTGTACATTGAAAATATTCCAATTGATACCTCATTGTTATGGAATATCAACTTGCACAGAAGTTGCAGACTTGGCTTTTTGTTAAAACTCCATTTCAGGGTGCGAGGAACAACATTCTCTTGATTTTCTTTGAAGACGCAAATACCAGCTTTGTTCAGTCTTGTAAGAGTTTCAAAGGCCCATACTTGTACAGCAAACATAAACCCAGGAAATGTGACACGGTCTGAAGAACTTGTAGTCAGTAACTCAGCACTTTTTCCTGCATTGTTGACCAAATCATCCCATATGTCTCTTCCCCATGAATAGCTATTGAAAGCTTCCATATCATCCAATAGATTCACATAGTACAAAGGCAGTGCTACTTTATTTTGGTTTCCAAATAATGCATTCCCTAGCAGATACAACAAAGCTAATTTGACACCATCACCTTCAACAGTTCCCTCTCACGGTTGTATGCAATCAAAGCATCGGTGATGTTTTGTCGGGACACATATGTCTTCCCATTGAAGTATCTCTTCCAGATATCCCCCTGCACATATTTCTGTATTTTTTTCTTAACTCCATCCATCCTAAAAGATGTCACCAAAGCGAAGTCTTCTTTTGTAAATGACACCAAACTGTTTCTAAGGTTGAAAGTGATCTTCTCAGTTTCTACCCTGTGATTCACCTCTTCAACATGATTCCCAATCAGCCCCAATAACAACTGCCCACTTATCCATGATATAGAATCTGCATCCAGAATCCACCCAAACACAGTTCTTCCAAATGCAGCCTGTTCTTCTTCATTCAAGTACATCTTAATGGCCTTAACCACTTCCAGCACATTGCAATAGCAGTTTACTCTTAGTTTGTTCATCTTTGACAAGATGTCCTTGTCACATGACCTTCTTATTGCCTATGAACAGTAAATATCAATATTGTGTTTACATTCATCATTGCAAGTAAGTAAAATGACAGTATATGTAATCTAAAATGTCAGGACCGTTTAGTAGCTGGTTTAATTCCTAAACAACACTAATTACTCATCAATATTTCAAAAACAGACCATGATTGAACAACTCAATAAATCTAGAAATATATGAATTCTCTTTACTTGTACATACTATAAAGGAAGTAATTAATGTTTGCATCTATTTTCTAGGTAAACAATACACCATATTAAACATCGAAGTAAAAAAATCTATCGCACTTGTTCTGTTCAGAATGATACACATGCAAGTAGAAATTCGGTTGAAACTTACATTATTAGACTTCTTATCACACATTTTAACCTAGTTTTCGCAAATGTAAATCATAAACATAGGAAGACATACCAGCTTCATGTCGTTTCTCCGCTCCGTGTTTGTGGAGTTCAAATCGGCCATTGTTGACGACAACAATGGTGCTTTCTTCGTCGCTTCTCACTTCTGTGTTCTCAGCGCTAGTCGTTTTCTCCTTCGAGTACGGTTTGCTCTGCGGAAGTTGCTAAAAGGAAGTTGAATAATGGTTTCTTCGAGAGTTGGAGAGCCTCCAGAGCACGATGATAGAGGCGCGTTTTTTTTATTGGAAACGGTGATACATCGGTTATTACTTGAGGGTATAATAGGCATTTCAGTCATCATTTGGTCCTATGTTAAATTGACTTTTGGGCTGCTCCTATTTTGGAATTAGTAAAGATAAATAGTCCCATTTTGGGAAAATTCCCAAAAAACAAAATGTGTAGGGGGGAAGGAACTCCTTGGATACTGTTCTTCCTGGAGGCTCAACAACAATTCAGATACACATTCCCGGAGGCTTTTACAAAAATACGAGGGAGCCTCTCAACACAAAGTCATTCGGCCACATGTCCCCGGAGGCTCCCTTGTCATTTGGAAAGACAATCTTGAAGTATAAGGAACTCCACGGAGGCTCTAAACGAAGGGTCACCTGTAAAACTTTACCAAAATTTGGCTAAGTCCAAAATTTGGCTGAGTCAAGGCAACAAACTATATGCCGAAGGCTCCTGACTTCCAAGATTATTGCACCAGGAGGCTACTCTATCTCACACGCCCGAAGGCTTGCCCTATAGTCCCTGGGACAATTTCATGCAATTTACTATAGCAGGGAGCTCAGTAAACTCTTACGTCCGAGGGCCTACCACAACATCTGTTGAAATTTTGTGGAAATTTGGCTAAGTCCACAATTTGGAACCCTTCGGTGGGCAACCATGGACTTCGCTACTACCAACAGGCTTATAGCCGAAGGCAACCTCAAAACACTCATCGAGGACCTAAAGCTACACTACAGGTCGAAGGCTCAACACTGCCGATGGCCTAGGGTGAAGTTTGCTGGGAAAATTTTCACTCCACAACCGAAGGCTTACGTTCAAGGTTTCCTTTGAGGTGTTTCATTAGTCCTGAATTGTTAAGCCCCCGGAAACTACTCCTACAACCCGGAGGCAACTCCAATGGTTCATTGAGGAAGGCTTGGAATGGGCCCCCGACGTTCTCCACTACAGTCGAAGGCTCCTAACCAAGTTTTCACTTAGAAAAAGTTCTAAGTCCATAACCACAGGCCCCCGGTGGTTCAACACAATAGCCGAAGGCTCCTGGCCAAATTTTCACTCAGGAAATTTTCTAAGTCCACAACTACAAGCCCCCGGCGATCCTACGCTATCATCAGAGTATACTTGGATGATAGCCTTCAACTATCACCCCCAGCCGCCTCCGGTGGACATATGTCACCTGGTACCTTCGAGCAAGCAGCAGCATAAGCCTTCGGCTTAATTACCAGCGTTGCCACTCCTCAGTCA